GTTGCATAGATCCCTTCATTACATTTGCCGTGATCGATGACCACAGAGGCGTGATTAAAAATAGTATGTGTGGCTCGTGCGGAAAGGCAATTTCAATATATAAGTAAATAGCTCACTTCCCGCCCTTGCCACACAATATACTATTATTGACTTCACACGTCGTCTTAAATTTCGATTCCTTGTTACATCTTACATATCTATTCACTACGTCTTATTATCTGTAATAAACCTATGGAGTGCACGATATTACGTTGGGGGAGGTTAGTATACTAGTATACTACTCTTAGTAGTATCCTATATTATATTGTTTTCAGTAGTTTTGATTTTAAATTTGCTCGTTGACCGTTGTACTGCACTATTGTAATTCATTTGTAATTCTTTTCATCTGTTATATTGCACATTATTTTTACATGTCCGAGAACTCACTGATGAAAATGTTTGTAGTTTTCCAACCAAGCAATACAATGTAATATGAATTTATACCTTGACAAACATAAAAAAAATGTTCCTATAAACAATAATTATTTATACAGAATATTAATATGTTTTATGTATAATATCATACTCTAGCCATTATTTAACGATGCATTTTGTTAATACCTACCCAATAATGCTTAATAATGTTGTTAAAGTATCGTACATATGCTTAAAATAAAAATTCTATTTTACACTACATATTTTGTAAATTCAAATAAAATGTTAAGTTTAATCTGTAGTTTATTCTAACGTGCTAGAATAGTATCGAGACTTAGTATCCTTAAACGTAATTGACTTAAGTATACCAGTGTACCTACCTTGTTTTATTTTTAAACAATATAATGTATTTTAATATAAAATAAAAATATAACCGTCTATATTTTTATACCTGCCATAAGTTTGGATATTAATAGACAATTTGCAATAATTTACTTTCATGTTTTAACTGTATTTTGAATATTTTACTTTATCTCGAACAACATCTATTAAATTATCCAGTTGTTACTTGATATAATATTATATATTTACATCCAACAATAATATTGCTAAGATAATATCTCTGGAAACTATTTTCGATCATTGAAAAGTATGTGCAAAGGAACAAACGTGTTATTTTCTTTTTATCCCTTTTACCTGGAAAATAATAATAATATGTGAAACGTAGATGCTGTTAAAAGTAAGTACTCTACTCTATTGATTTAAGAATAAAACATTTTATAATTTGACATTTTCAGTAAAATTAATTTAATATTACCTATTTGCCTACCTATATATTATTTTCTTTTTTATCAATATGTTTTGTTGATAAAACCAGGACACAATGTGTAAGATAAAATATTATAATAAGAATAATTCGATAATTTTACTTGCCTTTTGTAGTGTAAGTTACTACTATTCTTTTATTGATATGCAATTACTTATTATTTTAACTAGCATCTGCAGTATAATTAACTAGCATCAATAAAATATCATAATTATATTTATAACTATTAACTATGTTACCTAGTTATTTTAAATTTCAACTACATCAGTTTATATGAATATTAAAATAGTAGCAAATCTGAGTGGAAAATAGATCTATATTATAGTTTAAGATAAAAATATTAATAGTTTAAAATATACATTGTTCAATGTTATCATTGATAATTTTCCCTTTATAAAAAAATAGATTATTTAACTATAAACTGAAAAATAATATTTGATTTATAGCAGTCCACCAAGCTGCATAGTTATAACTTGCAAGTGTATAAGATTTTGAAATTGAAATTGTTCAATCATTAGAATTTGGGTTGGGCACCTATATAATATTATAATAACTGTATTTCAACATTTAAAACTCTAGTAATTTTTAACTCGCAATCATTAATTAGTGTACGAAAAACCGTTGATCACAGTGTTAATATTATATCGAGTGTAATATTTCTAGTGATATTAAAAAAAAAAAAAAAAGATTTTTAGTAATCCAAGTTCAATATAGAACTAAAGTAGATGATATTCAAACGCGATTGAACACAATAAATCACGCGAAAAAATAGATCTTCGGCCATTAAATCAGTATACTCAGCACTTTGCGCGTTATTGTTAAAAAAGAAAAAAAGATCTTTATCGCTTCTTTGTTTGTCGTCAAGCTCTATTCTCGACGCTGGTGCGATTTTGACTTCGCACAAAAGCGAACACTATCTTGCACCTGAAATCGTTAAAAAAAATATGATACACGATATTTCATCGTCTCTAAGCTGCGTAGTACTAGCGTTTGGCTATCACCTTGGCCAATGACGTGTTTCGTCGTCGTAGTTGTCGTTTAACGCGCTCAACAAACTTTTTCGGAATGGCCGTTTTCAAATTTCTCAATCGATACCAGCTGCAGCTGCTGCTACCGGAGTAGTCGGAAGTGGTGTTGACATTTCGGCGTCTGCGACAGCCGGTTTAATTTAAAACGACGTCGCTGGTAAATAGTCGAGAGCGACAACTTTTTGGTAGCGGCCAGTATACTAAGTATTAAAAATGTGCAGTGTCAGCGTCGCCGTCGTCGCCCACTGACCTGTAGAAGGCGAGTTTCAGAATTGAATAATCGACCTATCCGGCGGACGCCAGGCGGGACTCTCATTATTTCACCCCTCCATATCGCCATATCCTGTCACGGTGAGGCAATAGCCCTCAGCATATTCCCGAGGATTATATCCACTCCGTAGTAAGCAAAACTGATGACATAATATTAAGCAAACGTTTTTTTTTTTTTTTATTCATTTAATTTATTTCTCGACGCAACATTGTCCGCGATACCGTCGTCTTAAAACAGTTGCGAACGTTATTCGGTTCGTCATTGTTGTTTTATACCCCAAAATCACCGACACAACTAGAAACAAAAGGAGGAGTTATTCTGTCGAATGAATATGAAAAGTTTGTCGATTATTCGCCAGAACGAGGAGTACAAATTATTATTACTTTGCTAACGACTTTTACAAACGGTATCAATTAATCCATGAGATTCTCAAACTTTCTTCTACAGCGTTAAGTTCCATAATTTTACTGCTGAAATTTCGTTTATCCGTAGTGGGCACCAGTCGTTTTATTGCGGTTAAATGTTATAAATTAAATTATACGGTTTTATCGTCGAATTGGATTGGACCAATTTAATTATGTCATTAAAAAATAAAACGATAAAATTAATTTTAAAGATATCAAAAATAACGATGTTTCCGTTTAAGTTTTTGTAATAGCATTAATAGCTAATATAGTTTCGTGTCCATTACGTCATCTTATATTAATATTTATTACATACCCATCAAAAGTAACATTTTTAATGGTGCCAAAACATATTCAATAGGTAATAACTGAAAAAAAAAATTACTTTAACTTGGGTCCTATTATAGATCATAAGTTACTAAATATACAATTAATGGTTTTAAATCACATAACATGATAATGTTGGTGAACACATACAAATAAGCAACGCAAAAACAAAACAACTAAACCAGAATTTTGTTTTGAACTTAGTTTATTTTTATAATATTTATTTAACAATAATTAAAAGGACATTCAAGTATTCATTGTATATGTTATTGTTAGAAAATGAATATTTACAGTGTCTTAAGCACGTATAGTATGCAGCTGACTTATAAGTATCATAATAATATTATAATTATAGTATTACAATTTGGCAATACAACTTACGGAAAAAAAAAAACAATATTACCAATTGATGAACATTATTCACATCTCAGGAACCTCTGCATGTGTTGATAGTTTTATCGTAATATTATAAGTAATAGTATTTTTTTACACGGAATACGTTATAAACATTTTTGCTCTTTGAAAAAAGAAAACATAAAAACTTGTGAAATTCTGTACATACAACATAATATTATTTTCATTGAGCCCTTTATATTTTAAAACATAAACAACACTATTTCCAATCATTCTTTCGTAATATTAGTCCTTTTTAACATTATATAGTAATGACATATGCATAGTAATTGTATTATTTTATTACATTGAATATCCGATGATGTCGTTTTCAAACAATATAACCTGTTACCAGAATATGCATACTTAATATTATGATGTTTTCAAAATTCCATTACGTACAATCAGCATTAAAATATATTATGTCACATTGTCACAACAATTTTAAAATACTAATAATTAATATAATATTATAGTAAGTTATTAATAATAATTTTATTTAATTACAATTCTATTTACGTCCAATAAATCAAATAAGTAGGTACAGAGAAAACAAAATTATATTAACATGTTAGCCGTTAGGTATACATTGAGATGTATTAATATAGATATTTTTTATTCATTTACACTTGATAACTTTAACTTTTCATATAAATATTATATATTAGAAGATAACTAAAGTCACTAATAACAACTAGTAAATAAAAAAAAAATTAAAAATAAAAACAATTAGTTTTAGGTATTAATTTTCCAAAAATATTAATTAATATAAACTTATACATTAGTACAACGCATAACGGAAAAGAGTCATATAAAAATGATATATACAATATTGTAATATTATTGTTAATAATATAAGTTTTAATTAATTTCGATTAAAATAAAATTATATATTTTTTTTTTTTTGGAAATAAGTATGTGTAACCCTGTACAATATAACTTAAGTGCGATAATTAAAACCAAATCAAAAGAGGTTATGTAACATTATAGTTTTAATACAATTTAAATTTTATAACACTTTTTAAATATAATAATAAATTGTATCTGTAATATAATATAGGTAGATATAAACAATTATAATGGTAACGATACTAATAATATTAAGTGTGGGTTTATGAGATTAATTAATTAGTTAATAATAATTGGCTAAATTCTAAATATTTATCCCAAAGTTATTATTTTACTTAATTCTGGTAATTGAAATAAAACACGATTAAAATAATTACATTTTTAAGAATGTTTAACAATAATCATAATAATTATACTTTTTACAAAGATAAAATACATACATTATTACATAATAATTTTTATTACCTATACATAAGAATCGTTTCCCCTTATCTAATGGATATTACCATCAGTGGTAATGCTACAAACCATAGCATCACTTCGATTCCCGAAGCAGTGGACTTTCTACGTGATATAGCAGCCATTGTGTCTCCTAAAAAATGAACAACCAATTAAGAATGTTATTACTTTTATTTTACATCTATTTTATTTATCTTAGTATTATAATATTATTATGTCATGTCTACTTAGAGTATATTTTAGTAATGTAATGATGTTTTTAATATTTAAATTATTTGAAATATCTATTTTTTAATTGCATTTTTTGCACTATGAAACAGAAACTAAAAAGTGAGAATACAATCAAATTGTGTGCAACAATGCAACATAACCTGTGCACATTATTATTATTATGTATTAATTTATTGATTATTTAAAACATCTTCGACGAAGTGCCTGTATGTATAAGTTTAAATTCTATAAGACGTTTAAAGTTTTCTTAATTACAAGATGATTAATAAAAAAACTATTTAGTACATTATTATTAATAATCTACCCAAAAAGGTATTATCTAATTAAAACATTTTTTTAATTATGTATACCTATATGAAGACCATTATTTTTAAATTTGATTTTTTAAATTAGGTATTAAAATATAAACCCGATCACTAATTATATTCCATACCATCTCGAGGTTTTTATTTAATTTAACAGTTTTTTAGCGTTTGGATAAAAGCTAATAAGTAATAATAAATACATGAACAGTTTCAATGCTTAAACATTTTTCAATGTTATAATTGCCTTAACAGGAGAACAACTATGTAGTTTAACACTAAAATTCCCAATATGATGAGACTTACTCAAATGGAATTCATTTTACATTTATATTATTATCATTTTTGCTTCTTAGAATCAAAAATTATTATTATAACGGTACTCTGTAAATTTTGTTTTGCTATACTCTCTTGCTTATAATAATAATATATTGTTTCAAATTCATGTTTAAAATAAAAATAATATCATAAAATATATATCGAAATAAAATAAATAAAAAATAACGATAAAAAAGGTGGGTAAGTGGATGTCGCTCTGCTGTACAGTAGGTTACAAGTGGGTCACTGTATAATGGATGGTATTAAATTTGAATTCAATGATAAAATATCATTGTATAAGAAAAACGATTCTGAGCGAAGAAGGTATGTCAGTCTAGGTTTAAGATATATTATATATATATCTATGGTATTAAAAAAAAAATTGACCTATAATAAATTCCAAATTAATCATATCACAATATCCACTAGGTACTTATAACACGTTATACATCGATAACAAACCCTAATACTATCATTGATATATAATATAGTGTACTTTAGAAGTTTCAAGTACCCACGAATAGTATTATACACTCACAACAAAATAACTAAAATAGGTATGCTAGGTTTTTTAATATGTAATTTCGTCCCAAATTTGAACTTAAAATGTCTGTAAAAAATAACTGTGCTCATATATTTTTTTAGATTTTTTGGCTACAGTATGAACTATTTATGAGAATCTTTTTTTTAAATTTTCAATCCTTAGCTATAAAAACTGAACATTTTAGAATTTATTAATTACGATGGTTAATAATTTTCGAGATTTTGAAAAATTCTGTCAAAATTCGATGTTTAAATGCTTATAAAAAAAAATTGTGCCTATGTATTTTTAATATTTTTCAACTGATATTGTAACACTATATCAGGAGCCTTGTATTAAATTTTTACACTTTTTGGCCCAACAGATAAAACTTTATTGATATTTATAGAAAAAAAAAACTAAAAAAATTGAAAACTGAAAATGTCCATTAACAGCTCAAAAAGAGTCAAAATATTTTCAAAATTGTACGGTGTATAGGAAATGCTAATCTGAACATTCAGTGAAATTTTCATGTATCTATAGTTATTCGTTTTTGAATAACAACAAAATAAGAAAATCGCTACATACAAATCGAGTGAATATCCAATGTTGTAAAAATTTGAATTTCAAACGCTCATAACAATTTAATTTGACTTTCTTATAGAATTTTTTTTTTTGATAAATGTAGGAAATCTTATAAAGAATCTTGTATTACATTTTCATATCTTAGATTTAAAAAGAAAAATTTTTATGAATTTCTAACTCGAAATAATTTGCAAATTTTCGTGATTTTTCCATATTTTGTCATTTTTTGAACTTTAAATGCTTAAAAAAAAAAACTGTGACTAACGATTTTTAATATTTTTTATCTGTCTTTGAAACAATATAGTAGGAGCCTTGTATTAAATTTTCAAGTATTTTTACTCAACAAATAAATTTTTATTGATATTCATAAAAAAAAAAACTAATAAAATTGGAAACTGAAAATGTCCCTAAACAGTTCAAAATAAATCAAAATATTTTGAAAATGTTATCGTGTATAGAAAATGCAAATATAAACAACCACTGAAAATGCCATGTATCTACGGTTATTTGTTTTAAAGTTACACCAAAAACCAAAATCGATTTTTTGGAAAACCGATTTTGCGTAAAAATTCCCGTTTTTCCTTAATTTTTATGTTGTTTTTCCCGGCGCTCTTGAAAACTACTGGGAAATTTAAATTTTGACCTCCCCAATGCACCAACGATATTCACTTTCCAATCGAACAAGATACTGAAGTCGAAAATCGAAGCATTATTTCGACTACTTATCGTGTACACAAACACAAAAAAAATAAATAAAAAAATAAAAAAAAAGTAAAAAAATAAAAAAATAAAAAAAACACACATCATTGTAAAATCAATACATTCATCGTTTCACTCAGAATCTAAAATTTGAAAAAATAACTTTATTCCGAAATTGTTGTTTATTAATAATTTAATATTTTTGAAACGTTAATGTTTTCTTAAATAATGAGTATTTTGAGTTAGTTAAAGGACCACCCTATAAATTATATTATTAATATACCTACTATTACACAATATATAGTATATACTATAGTATAATACGTTTGTGTTATAGCAATGATAACAATAAGTAAGAAAATTCACCAAAATACCTTCGAATTGGATGAAAAACACCCCGCCGGCTGACTATCTCCTTACAACATGGGCTGTTCGTTGTCATTACGTAAAAAAAACGAACAACTACAACTATATTATCGAGGTCGTACCTTTGTCTCAATTATAAACATAAAGTTTTAATATCATTATCCCTTTGACATAGTAGTACATTCACCTGCACTTTACCTTTTGCCTATACCCAAATGTTTTGATTTTTTCTTACAGAATTATATGTTGTAGCATGGTTTAGAATTAATACGTATAAAGCTGTCGTAGATACGTCTGACACAAAATAATAATAATTATAATATTATTTCAGTTATCTTTGAAATATTTTTTTATAAGTAGGTAATCAATTCGTTGTAATAGCCATTTTGCCTCGGGGACACTAGTACTTTTTGGGAGCAGTACATATTTTGAGCGTTTTTTTTATATGGATTTGCTACTATACTTAATTTATTTGGATTGACGTTGAAGAGGTTTCCTTGCATATTCGTAATGCGACGTGTTAGACGAATTTGGAATGTAAACTACACTAGTTTTAGTGTATATTATTATGGTGTAATATTATAATCAGTTTGTTTTACGGGCGTTCGGTTAATTCATTATTATCTGCTGTTGTGAATACACTTCAGATCAAAAAAACATTTTTCGTGGAGTTTAGTTTGTCGCTGTCGTCCGATGCGGGAATACGACGGGGCAAATTCCGACCGGACCATCCGTCATCGGTAATAATATTTCACTGTTTGTATATAAGACACGATCGCTCTACTCAGAACGTACTGCTGACGTTTCGTGTACGCATCGCTGGCAAAAGGGTTTCCACGGATCACATTGCTATAATAATATACCTAATGTATTAGGAACACTGCAGCACTATGACGACCACTGTATGTACACAGACGACGACGGTTTCCACGACGTCCGGACCAATATTGTGTACGTTCACCTGCTGCAGATTCCGGCCGGATATTCTGTGCGCGCCTAATATAATAATATCGTATCCACCCCCAAGACAAACGTACAATTCTAAGCCACGCGACGACGTGCTGACCCGGTCACGGGGTCAACCTGACCTTTGATCTGTATACTCCAAACCAGAACAACTTACTGTTGTCATGTGACAGTGGTAATAATATTATTTCGCCCACTTGCCACCTCACCCAACGAGTGGTGTTATTGCGGGGCCCAACGGTTCAACCCGATCACGAACATTCGCGAATGGTAAATTTTACTGTATTACTACCTACCTACCTATATCATAGTCCGTCAAACACGATTTACTGCTAAACAAATTTGTATCGATTATTTCACGAGAAACTCACGAGTATTATCATCGTTACACCTACGACAATCCCACACGCGCACAACAGGTACAACAACAGACGTACATTGTTTTTAATTCAATACGTTTTATTATGATTTAACAGTAATTGTCAATATTAATTATTAATATAACACTATTTTAGATTCTGAGCGGAGAGAGGAAGCTAGTGGTTTTACAATGGTTTACACAACATTTCTACCAGAAGGAGTGCTTTAATTTAACCATATAGTACCTTATCTTTTAGCAAATTGGATCAAGATGGTACTTTAAAGAGGTCATTTTTCGATTTTATCAATAGTTATTTTATACTACGGGAAAAACCACCGAAAAATTACGAAAAACCGCTAAAAATTTGATTTTTATTTCTAAGCTTCTTCTAAGCTTTGTTTATCACCATAGAAAAGAATAAAAAATAAAATATTATAATATTAATTCAACTTACATATTGATATAATAAATAATAACAATATAAAATATCCAGACTGACAAACGGTGACCCCTCGGAATCTTTTTTCTTATACAATGATATTATATCATTGAATTCAAGTTTAATAGAATTCATTATACAGTGACCAATTGTAACCTACTGTACAGCAGAACGATATCCACTCACCCGCTTTTTTTATTATTAATTCTATCAAAAACGAAATAAAATATAGTTGCAACAATTTTAAGTTCATTATTTTTTTTGTAATATTTTTTATATGAAAAGGGATTTAGAGTTGGACATTGCATGACAAAGTTATAATAATATAATATTATACTGATTTTTTACTTGAGGTAGATAATTTCTATAAAATGTTGGTATGTCATTTTAACTTACCTTCAGATACAAAAACGTAAACATAAGCTTGTTCGGCATTTGCGGTTTCACATGTGTAATTGCCACTGTCAGTGTCAATAACGTCGTGGATGGTCAACCTGCTGGTACTACGGCCTCCGTTTTCTGTATTGACCACAATACCACCTCTGATATTGTCGTAATTGATCATTTTTTCATTATGATACCAAAACACGTACTGTGGAGGTTGAGGACTCTAAAAACCGATTCATACAAAATAGTTTATTTAAAAAAACAAAACGATATAAAATTTAAATTGGTAATAATTGGAATGATTATTATGTAAGAAACAAAAATAGGAATCCAACAATTGTATATTGAAAATCATCATATTTAAATTTGAAAAAGTACACTTTATCAAAATTTTAAAGTATAAAAATGCGTCTATAATAATGAAAAATAAATGATTATTAGTATCAATAATAATAATATTATGATTATTGAGTTTTCTAACACATTTAGGACGAAGACCGTGTTTTTGAAGATTTTTTTAAGATAATATTATCTTAAAAAATAATTGTTTAGTCGTCAACGTGCTAACAATATTTTGGAAGCTTATGTTTCACGGCGTAATAGGTATGCAATTTAATGACACACATTTGTACAGATTATAATAACGTTGTAAAATATTATGTTACGCTTCTCCTTCTTAAAAATAACTACAATAATAGGTAAAATTCCAGAACCCACTAAATGGCTAACTGTAGAAAACAGCTAAAGATGAAACATATCTAAACAGTTTGTCGTCAATATGATAGACAATGAAGAGAGAACAATATACTTGACCAACTGCACGAGATCCTGGACCAACATAGGACGCAGAAATCAAAGTTTTAAATTCTTAAAAAAAAACTGATTTGTATAAATTATTTTGAATATAAAGTACAAATCAAAAACAAAATGTAAATATTTATGTTTAATAATTATATTAACCTCTATGGTTAGCTAAAATTAAAGCTAAAAATTAAAAAAAAAAAATTTAATGATATATATTTTATTCTTCACTTAAATACCAGAGTACCTTTAAAAACATTTCAATGATTTAAAATTATAAACTCTGTTTCGCAAAGAAATTTTTTTTTTTTTTAATTGTTGTACTTAAATGTTAATCAACTGGTACAAATATCGTTTATAGTAAGTTATACATCTTAATAAAATATCAATATTGTTGATTTGTAATTAAATTTTTAATGTATATTAACTATAAAGTGTTACTAAATTTGATATTTACTTCATTATTATGAAACTATTGCTGATATATTATGTCAAAAATAATGAGCACTTACTTTTTCGATGATACAGAGAAGATTTATTATGCTGCCCATGTCTACGTGGAGTTCACTTGGTCCATCAATGTGGACCTCAGGAACGACGATGTGAACGTTGATGAACGAGGACATTATGCCTGTTCCAGTGGATATCTGTTAAACACAATCAATAACATAAACATTATAATCAATTGTCAACATTGAATAAATAATTTTAATTAGATACAAATGTGAAATGATATATTTTGAATGAAATTAATTAATTTAATACAAATATAGTTGTTGATTCTATGGAATTTTTGGACCTTAAACGTTTATAATAGTACAGACGTACACTGTACACCCGCTAGTTATTATACATGTTGGATTAGTGGAACTAATTATGATATAATAAAATTATGAGAAAATAAAATAAAATAATATATTATATTATGTATCTCGTATCTAGTAATTTTTGTCTCATTTTCAAACGTCCTTAATGATAATATTACTACCTAAGTTTAGATATCTAAAATTAGAAAATTATTTAGCTCTTGGACCATTTAAGAATAAAATATTATCATAATTATTTTGATGCAATATTAATTCTTATAAAACAGTATTAAGTACTATAAAAATATATTTCTTAGCCGAAACGTTACCGAAACTTATCATTAAAAATATAACTAAATTCAAGTATTCTTGGATATTATACATGTATTTTAGATTCTGAGCGGAGCGATGAATGTATTGGTTTTACAATGATGTATGTTTTTATATTTTTATATTTTTATATTTTTTTTTGTGTCTGTCATCACGTTTTGGGACAGTAAAAGTGCTTCGATTTTCTTCAATAGTACCTTTTCTGATAGGAAAGTGAATCTAGTTGGTACTTTGGGGGGTCAAAAGTAAACATTTTCCAGTATTTTTCACAAGCGCCGGGAAAAACAACATAAAAATTAAGGAAAAACGGGAATTTTTACGCAAAATCGATTTTCCAAAAAATCGAATTTGGTTATTGGTGTAACTTTAAAACAAATGACCGTAGATACATGAAATTTTCACTGGTTGTTTATATTTGCATTTTCTATACACGATAACCTTTTTCAAAATATTTTGATTTATTTTGAACTGTTTAGGGACATTTTCATTTTTCATTTTATTTTAGTTTTTTTCTAGAAATATCAATAAAATTTTATTTGTTGGTTGCGAAAGCTTGAAAATTTAATAGAAGGCTCCTAATATGTTGTTTCAAAGGCAGATGAAAAATATTAAAAATCCTTAGTCACAATTTTTTTTTATAAGCATTTAAAGTTCAAAAATTGACAAATATGGAAAAATCACGAAAATTAGCAAATTATTTTGAGTTAAGAATTCGTAAAAATTTTTCTTTTTAAATCTAAGATTTGAAAATGAAACACAAGATTCCTTATAAGATTATCTACCTTTATCAATAAAAAAATCTCTACCGGACAGTCAAATTAAATTTTATGAGCGTTTGAAATTCAAATTTTTACAACATTGGATTTTCACTCGATTTCTCATGTAGCGATTTCCTTATTTTGTTGTAATTCAAAAACGAATAACTGTAGATACATGAAAATTTCACTGAATGTTTATATTAGCATTTCATATACACCATACAATTTTGAAAATATTTTGACTCTTTTTGAGCTGTTTATGGACATTTACAGCTTTCAATTTTTTTTAGTTTTTTTTTCTATAAATATCAATAAAGTTTTATCTGTTGGGCCAAAAAGTGTAAAAATTTAATACAAGGCTCCTGATATATTGTTACAATATCAGTTGAAAAATATTAAAAATACATAGGCACGATTTTTTTTATAAGCATTTAAAGTTGGAATTTTGACAAAATTTATCAAAATCTCGAAAATTATCAATCGTTGGAATTAAAAAATTATAAAATGTTCAGTTTTTATAACTAAGAGTTGAAAATTTAAAACAAAGATTCTCTTAAATAATTCATACTGTAACCAAAAAATCTAAAAAATATATAAACACACTTATTTTTTACAGACATTTTAATTTCAAATTTAGACAAAATTTCATATTTAAACCAAGAATTACGATTTTAGTTATTTTGTTGTGATTGAATAATACTATTCGTGGGTACTTGAAAGTTCTAAAGTGTACTATTATATATCTATGATAGTATCACGGTTTTTGTTGATGTATAACGCGTTATAAGTATCTAATGGATATTGTGATATGATTAATTTGGAATTTATTATGCCTTATACATAGACTGACATACCATCACCGCTCAGAATCGTTTTTCTTATACAATGATATTATATCATTGAATTCAAATTTAATACCATCCATTATACAGTGACCCACTTGTAACCTACTGTACAGCAGAGCGACACCCACTTGCCCACCTTTTTTTGTTTGCTTAGAATACACTCAATATATTCATAAATGCATCAAAATACTATATAAAAAAATAAAGTAATTAAAAAATGCACTTAACAGCATTGGTTTTATAATCATTATTGATACTATTAATTTTTTTTGAATTAATACAACTCGTTATTTTTTTGTAAAACGAATTCAGAAATGTAATAAGACCATAACTTAAATTTAGAAACAGTGAAGAAATATTAATTTTAGTTCTTAATAATGATTCTTTTTATGACAGCAATGACATTGTTAATAAAAAAAAATACATTTTAAATTGGTATTTCTTAAGAAAACAATTCATCGTTAAGATTTAGAAATGGTCTAGATTTTGTAAAAAAAAATAACTAACGATTATTAAACGTAGGCTACATAAATTGTTAAAAATTCATTGTAAGCTCTAAGAATAGTGAGTAATTTTAGTTTCACTATATTATGATAAGTATTGATATTTTTAATATAAACTGTAATCTAATTTATTATGTATTTTGATTCTGTATTATATAATAATAATATGATTACAAAATAAATTGTTAATTTTATGTGGCTTATAATAATTCCTTAGTCAACATTTTTATTATAACTTGTGAATAATAATAATACTATAATAATATAAAACTGCTAACCGATATTATTTATTTGTAGATAAAATCGTATATTTATTTTTATTCTTAATATTAATTGTTATATCGTTATTCAACGATACTAATAATGTATATGGATAATTTGGATATTCGGGATAATGTTACCTATAAAATATTATATTATTTCATTTAAAATATTACATACATTAATTGTACAACTACTATGAACATTTTTATTTTTTTACCCAAAATATGACGTGTAAATCGCGTATATAGTTTTTGTTTGGAACAAGTAAATATGATTTATAGTACAATATACTGCTGGATATTTAATTCTGCTGCACGCGATAATTTGTAACAAAAATTAATAGGGTTATGTATCAAAATCTACCATTCACTAGAAAATTAGAAATAAAAAAAAATCAAATTTACGACTTTTTTTTAGAAAACATTCACAAAGGTACCTAAGTATAATAGCTAAACGATCTTACACACACATTTTTACTTGAATGTTTATTAAATGTATAATTTATATCTTTCATCTATTTGATCAACATTATTTGAGTTTAATAGTATGAAAGTATTATAAACAATAAAATGTGCGTGTAAAGAAAGATAACAATTATAATTACGTTTAAAATATAGTATAATTGGATGACATAATACTTAACAGCGTATTAAACATTTAAAAAGTAGGTTATTTTTTTAACCAATACGAGCAGAAAGAATTGCAATTGTAATTAAAGTTAATTGTAAAATAAAATTTAAAAATGTTTACTTAATGCATCTAGCATATGGCCAAATAAACGAAAGTCCACAGATTACTTTATAAATTACTAACAAGCAACATCTTAGGCGCCTGATAGTGTTCAGCGTACCCTATTTCGGCTAAAAACCCACCCATTTTATTATTATTTTATTTTACCCGTTCTTATTTTAGTTGGAGTAAATAAATCAGAAAAATAAAATATATTTGATTTTTTGGATACGAAATGATATTGTATAACATTTTTTTACCCCACAATGTAAATTCAGCGGACTGTATTTTTACCACGTTGCTTACTTAATAATATACGTCACTCAACGTAATAACAACCGCAAGTCCTTGAATCACGTCTATAAATAAACAAGTTTGCACATATTCGTAAAATTTTCAAAATGTTATTATAAAGTTGTCAATAATATTTGTATGTAGGGGAGATACACTGCTTATAACCTAAATTAAAAAATTAAAAAAGAATGTTTAAAAAAGTTACCTAACTAATGTATTGCACATATACAAAAAACCAATAATTGCAGAAAAAGTGGAAACAAAATGTTAACCAAAATAATAAAATAAAACCTGTTAGTATTTCTGGGCAGCAAGTAGAATCTGAATCTTTGGAAAGATGAGGTTTATCAGGATGATGTTCTTTTTGTTAATGAGTAAAGTACCGAAATAATTAAAATTCATGAAGTAAAATATGTGATAAATGGAAAATTTACGTGTAAATATTTATTTATAACAAAGTTGTTTGGACCGCTCCAATACATGAGGAAATGTAAAATAAAAATAAATGAATGTTGAAATTACCACAAACTGCAGTATTAGTAATATAAAATTTTCATTGTGACATTGATATATTTATATAATTTAACATGAAAACACATAACATATTATTCCGCAAAGTTGGTATTATTGATGGAAATTTCGTTAAAGAAATTTATAACGGAATGTGTTGGACTTTAACCGGAATTGTCATCGGTTTATATCCGACAGGTAGAACTTGGACTAGTAGGTATAGTGATTGATGGACAACAGTAGCTAATATGCCCCTTTGGGATTACAGAAGTTGAGCCAAATTCGTCTATATTCTTGGTTTTAGGTTTTAGGTTTTATTTTTCATTTCACGAACTATTTTCTTGGCTCTAACAATATTGACACAAATGACAGGACTTATAGGAAATTGGTAAACAATTTCCACATTTTAGACTTCAATAAGTGTTCATTGACTATATTTACAATTGAACAATTTTCAAACAAATAACTCAATGTTAAAATAATAAAGTCGAAACATTTATTATTAATTTTCAAACCGATAAACAATAACGTATTGTTTTTCACATTCATATTATAAGACTTTCAACTAGAAGAAAAAAAATTATTCCTAGATTTTCCATTTTATTGGA